GGCGCGTGCGAAGGCCAGCGGTGCGACCGCGGCCGACGTGCCCACTCCCAAAGCGGGGCCTGCGCAGCGCCCTGGCCAGCAGGTGAGCGCGTCGGAGAGCGAAGATGTCTCGGACGAGGGGTTCGACGTGATGTCTGGGGCGGCGACCTTTCGGACGGCGCCGACACTGCCCACGGGATCAGCGACGCCTGCCGAGGGCGCCGACGGTGGCAGCGGTGCGGGGGCCGCCCCCAGTGCCGCTGCCTCTGAAGGTGGGTAACTCGGACGGAGGCTCCACGGCGACGGCCGAGGCGCCTGCTGAGGCCACCGCGATGCCCACGTCGGCGGTGGTGCCAGTGACGAGGGCTGCCCTGGCAGCGGCGGTCACCTACTCCAACTTCACCACGGAGCAGCGCCGCGGGTTGGACGCGATCACCCTCGCGCCCCACAACCTCCAGCTGCGGGGGCAGGCTGTGGGCGGCCGCGGTGGCCGAGGTGCGCGCAGCGACGCCGATGGCGGCCGCTCCATGGACGATGAGACCGCCAGTGAGGCCCCGAGTGCAGCGACCACGGGCGCCCTCAGCGGGCACGGCGGCAAACGCCACCGCCGTCGCAGCAACAAGGCCGCCTACGGCAAAGCCCCCCCGCCGAGCGGCGGCGCGGCTGCCGCGCTCGAGGACGCCGAGATGATGGCGGACGAGGACTACGTCGAGGCGGGCTACGTCCACTGCATGGGTGCGTACTGGGCCCCGCCGCAGCGCCTGGGCTGGTGTCGGGTGTGCTCAGCGCTGGATGATTGGAAGATCATGATGGTGGAGTACGTGGACGAGCTCAGCTGTGGTGAGATGCGCCGCTACGCCGAGGCTTCCGAGTACAGCCCGCAATGCCCCGAGCTGCGGAAGGGTGTTCAAGGCCAATACAAGCTGCACACGTGCTCGCACTGCGTGGCGGCGGCGCAGAACATCACCGAGCACGAGGCCGTGACGCGCGCAGCGCGCCTGAATAAGGGTGCTGGCTCCATCGACCACGCCGCCAAGCGAGTGGCGAAGTTCCGCGCGAGCTTCGACCACGCCAAGGAGGGCATGGACGTGCTGGTGGGGTTCCCGCTCTCCGACGACGGCTTGCTAGCCCTGCGGAGGTCAACGGAAGGGGTCGGGGTGGGCATCGATCCCGAGAGCACGGGCGCCCCCCCAGCCACGGAAACGGTGGCGGAGGAGGTCGGTCGCCCGATGCAGACCCCCCCCGTGGCGATGAGAGCGACCCCCCGCCCGACAACGATGCTGAGGACCAGGAGCACCAGCTGACCAACGCCAAGACCGTGGAGGAGGTCGCGGATATCGAGCCCCTGCTGCGGCTCGGCCTCTCCAAGAAATCGCTGAAGCGTATGGCGCGGGCCTATGGTGTCCTCAAATTCGAGACCATGCGCACCCACATGCTGGGAGGCCTGGGGCCCATCCCGGAGGAGAAAGAGGACATGGTGAGGGGCGCAGAGGCGCAGGGCGGGGTCCAGAAGTGGCTCGACGCGCTGAATGCGGAGGCAGAGGATGATGTGGGAAGGCTGAAGAAGGGCCTCCTGGAAGCCTCGGGGGTCGCGGACGCACACCTGGGGCACAAGCGTGCCTGGAAGGAGGAGTGCCAGGGCAACGCCATGGCGCAGGAGGCCTACCGACGGATGGGCGACTACACGGACCAACTCTACCGTGGCAAGGGCTTCACGTTCAACATGTACTACAAGTGCTCGGCCGACAAGACCTGGGACAATCCCAAGGGATGCTGCTCGGTGATCCGCTCGGATCGCTGGACGCAACTGCTCACCTGCGCGCAGGAGGCGGCGGGGGAGACGGGCCAGCGCTGGTGCTGCCATTGTGGTGCGCGCTACGCGACCTCCTACGGCGTCTGCAGTTCCGCGTCGCCTTCGCAGTCAGCGTCGCAACGGGGAGATATTCCCGCTACCGGCGCCTCCTCGTCCTGCCGTTCTACTTTCTCGCGCTCCTCGGTGCGTCCGTCAGCGTCGGCTGGAGCAGTCCCATCGGCAACGGCGAGAATGTGAAGCGGGTGGGTCTCTTAACCAGCTCGCCGCCGCAACTGCTTTTTTCTCGAGCGTCTCAAGTACGGGGAGATTTTGAGGTTTGGAGGCGACGCCCTTGCAGCGTGTCGCGCTGGGCCACTTCGCCCGCCGCGTCAAGGTGCACGCCCCCCCCCCCCCCCTCTCGAGACCTGGACGAGAACGGAGCCCTCGCGGAGCTCGCGGCGCCCAGGGGCCTGTACTCACAGGGGCCGAAGAACCTCGCTGAGTACGACATCGACGAGCTCCAGATCTGCCGCTCGGGCACCGCGTCGACGGACGCAAAGGCGTTTTTGCCTCCCGAGGCGGCGGGCCTCATCGAGCACTGCAAGCACTGCGTCGAGCGCGATGCGGAGCATATTCAACTTCTACAGGCTGCGCGTGACTTCCCGCGGCCGTATTGGGATCCCAAGCTGGCGAGCTGCTCTCATGAGATCGTCGAGTTGGTCAACCAGCTGCGTGCTTCGAACCTCATCGATTTCCGTCGTGAGACCATGGCAAAGGTTGGCATCTCTTTCGTCAAGAAAAAGGACCCTGCCTGGATACGTCTCATCTTCGACGCGAGGCAGGCGAATCGTTGCCACCGCCCGCCGCCCGAGACCCTCCTGGAGTCTGTCGGCGGCTTCTGTGAGCTCGACCTCTCCGACTCCGCGCTGCGCGACCTCGGGGGCTTCGGGGCCGTCGGGGAGCTCTGGGGCGGCACCAGCGACGTGGGCAACTGCTTCTACCAGATGCTGGTGGAGGAGCGCGGGTCCTGGTTCGGGATCGACATGCCGAGACCAGCCGGCGAGTGGGGAGTGCAGTCGGTCTACGACGACGAGCTGGGTCGGCACATCGCGATCGACAGCGCGGAGATCGTATGCCCCGTCTTCCATGGCATGGCCATGGGCTGGTCCCGGGCGCTGCACTTGGCGAACGAGGCGGTCTCGCACCTCGCCAGTTCCAGCGCCGCCTGTCCTCGGTCGCTCGTTCGGGAGCGGACCCCCGCGCCGCCGCTGCGGGTCGGGCAGGCTGTGTCAGGCGTCTACGTTGACAACTTCACGCTCGCCGGCGACAAGACCACCGCCGAGGACTCGGTGTCTAGGTCCAGGCATGCAGCGGACATGCACGACATCGGCACCCGCATCGACGGGGAGGTCGCCGTGGTCTTCGAGAGCCTCGGCAATGTGTTCGATGGGAAGAAGCGGAGTCTCCGCCATATCCCGCGCCGCGTCTGGCGGGTTTACCTGGCTGCGAGGGGCCTGTGCAGGAGGAGGTGGATCTACGGTGACGTGCTGGAGATCTGGATGGGCCATGTGGTCAGCCTGCTGGGGCTGCTGCGCCCCGCGCTCTCCTGTCTTCAGAGGATCTATCCGTTCGCGGCCGCGTCCTGCGGCAAGCGAGTCCGCCTCGCCGACGTCATCAAGAATGAGATGCGCTTGGTCCAGGGGGTGCTGTTCCTGTGCGAGTACGACATGGGCACGGACTACAGCCGAGAGGCGTGCTGCTCGGACTCGTCGGACGTCGGCCACGCGCTGCTGTCGACGCGGGCTACGCCGCAGGAGCTTCGCGACCTCGCCAGGTGCCGCGAGAGGTGGCGCTTCAAGCTCGTCGAGTCCCTCTCCGACGTCGCGCTGATCCGACCTGAGTGGGTCGAGTTCGCTGGGGGTCGACTTCAGCCTGGTGGTGAGCTTCAATTTCCAGACGGTGCTTATGCTGATGTTGCTGTGCGAGGGTCTCGTCCCTGTGCTATCGGCCCGCAGACTCAGTATGGCAAGTGGCTGGAAGGTGAGCGTGATCGCCTCGGGGCTGAGCGGCACCGACGGGGTCGCAGGTCTCGGCTTCCCCGTCCTCGGCCGCACTTCCAGGAGGTCGAGGCCCCCAGCGCTGTCCCGCCGATTGACGAGTGCTGGGGCAAACCGTGGAGGTGGAACCATCTTCGCGTCGGACGGTGGCAGTGGCGGCGTGAGCATATCAATATTAAGGAGAGGCGGGTCTCGCTCTTCGGCTTGCGCAAAGCTGCGCGGTGTCGCAGTAACCACGGCAAGCGGGCCGCGTCCATCGGCGACAACCTGGTCTCCATCTGTGCCTTCGAGAAGGGCCGCGAGAAGTCGCGCGCCCTCAATGCGCTGGCTCGTCGGGCGGCGAGTTGCCAGATCGCTGCTCGAGTCCGCTGGCACTGGAGGCACGTCGAGAGCGAGAGGAACGCGGCCGATGCAGGATCACGGCTGCATCAGACTGGAGGGTCGGCAGGCGCCGCAATGCGAGTGGACCAACATTCAGAGCAGTCCGAGGATGTCACGCCTGACGGCCCTCCAGAGTCTCGAGCACGTTTTTTTGCACGAGGGGCGACCCCTTCGAGCAGCCTCGCCAGCGAGGGAGACCTTTACCCTCGAGCTCTTTGCCAGCGAGGCGGGCCTCACCTGGGCCCTTCGGGCTCGCGGCCTGCGAGTCGGGCCACCGGTTGAACTGTTGCGCGGCGCGAAGTACGACCTCGCCAGAAAAAAAGCACCCAGGCCCTCATCAAGTCGTGGATCTCCTGGGGGCTCGTGTACCGCTTGGTCCATTGCTAGAGGGGGTGTTAAGAATCTGCGGAAGGCCCACGCAAAGGGGGCCGTCGCTGTGTAGCTGGCCTCATTCACGGCCGAGGTCTGTATTTTGGCTTCGAGATGCGGGACTCTGTGGAGTCTGGAGAATCCTATGTCTTCAGGTCTGTGGGAGTTCGGGCCCATCGTGGACCTCATGGGGCTCCCGCAGGTGTTCAAGGTCTCTTTCCACGTGTGCCAGTATGAGGTCCTGTGCCAGAAGCCCATCACCGTGCTCGCTAACGTGTCGGCCCTGCTTGGCCTCGAGGCTAGGTGTTCTGGGGGGCATGTTCATCGCATTCTTGAGTGACAAGAGCGAGTCTTGGGAGTTGATGGAGTTCGGAGGTCACAGTGTAAGACCAAAGCCGCAGGTGAGTATCCGTTGGCATTGTGTTCAAGATGGGCATCTCTTTTGTTCTATTTCACCACAGTCCGCTCCCAGACCACAGAATCTTGTTTGATCAGTGCAATGAAGCTTGCGAATCTCGTCGGGCAGCGAGCAACTGTCACCCTCCCGCGTGAAGCTGAGGGGAGATCGGGCGAGTCGAACGGGCTCGAGCGTGCTGAAGCCTTCATCGAGAAGTACCGCCTCAAGCTCGGCAGGCATCCACCGGCCTGGGCCCCAGAGTCAGGAGGCCCGTCGCCGGCAGGAGGTGGTGGCGCGAGCCTCAGCTCCGCTTGAAAGGTTTCTCCAGGAGAGCACGGCAGGCGAGAAGTCGAAGGACATCAATCGTCGGGGGCTTCAGCGCTTTTCAAGTGGGCTGACGAGCACCAGCGGCCCGTCGGCAAACAGAGCATCGGAGTCACGATGCGAGAGTACTTTCTCCATATGTATCAGCTAGGTTATGGGCCGTCTGTCGGCCGTTCTGTCTTCTTCTTCGGGCACCTGCTGCTGCGCTCCGACAGCTGCGAGCTGGAGGGGTCCCAGCTCCGTGATGTTGAATGTTCGCTGGCAGGCTGGGCCAACAAATCGAAGGAGGTCGTGAAGGGCCCCGCTCCCCAGGAGGTGTTGCTCGACATGGGCCTATGGATGACGCAGAATGGGCTTGGTGAAAGCGCCGCTTGCCTGGCGCTGCACCTGGACGACTACGGCAGACCCTCGGAGAGCATCGAGTTGGCCGTCGGTAGCCTGCTGCCGCCCGTCCATGGTGTCCGAGGCTCGCCGTCGCGTGAATGGGGCGTGATCTTCGCGCCCGCGGAGCTCGGGTTCGTGACCAAGACTGGCCGGGTGGACAATTCGGCGGTGCTGGGCAGCCCGTCGCGGCAGTTGGCGCCGACGGTGGCGACCGCGCTGCTGGCTCGGGCTTCGAGACGGGCCTTCGAGACAGGCGCCCGCGCCCCCCGCGCTGCCACCGATCCTGCGACGCCGCTGTTCCCCGGCTTGACGCTCGCGCAGTGCGAGCGGGACCTCCGCGACGCTGCGAAGGAGCTGGGGTGCGCCGAGTTGGGGATCACGCCGCAAACGACGCGGCATGCTGGACCGCCTCGCGACATCTACCACAAGCACCGCAATCTCGAGCAGGTCAGGCGCCGCGGGCGCCGGGCCGCCAAAAAGAGTGTGACGCGGCACGAGCGCCACGCCAAGCTGTTGAAGCAGTGCGCCAAGCTGGACTCGCGCCAGATCGCCAGGATGAATCGGTCTGTTGACCTGTTCCCCGATGCGGTGCTATCTCACATCCGAGCTGGTGATTTCACTCGCTTCCGTGGCTAACGCCTATATCGCTGTGCCCGCCCGGCCCTCCCGTGTTTTTCGGGCATTCTGCTCTGATACCCACATATGGGCGATATGGGATGCCGAGCTCGGGAGTTTTCAATGCACGCTCAGTTTCGTCTGTGCCTCGCTGTTCTTTGGACGGATGTGATCGGAAAATAATTGCTTGTCTTTTCGCACTCAGATGTTGTAGTCGCGCAGCCTATCGGGTCCCGATAACAATGCCTTTCGGCTTTACCGACGGCCTCGGGATTGCGGGAAGGCTCCCCCTGAGGCTTTGGGCGCGCTCGTGGGGCTTTAAGAGGAATGCTAAATCTTATTGTGGTTTCCTCGCCTCCCGATTGCGCGCCCGTCGGACACAGTCAATGCTTGCCTGTGGCTGTTGTGTGCTCAAGCTCTCCCACCCACTGGCCTCCCACAGTGCAGGGGTGCCGAGCTCGGGAGTTTTCAATGCGCGCTCAGTTTCGTCTGTGCCTCACTGTTCTTTGGACGGATGTGATCGGTCGAACCCTCGGCCATCGGAAAATAATTGCTTGTCTTTTCGTATTCAGATGTTGTAATCGTGCAGCCTATCGGGTCCCGATAACAATGCCTTTCGCCTTTACCGACGGATTCGTGATTGTGGGAAGGCTCCCCTTGAGGCTCTGGGCGCGCTCGTGGGGTTTTCAGAGGAATTCTTTTTCTTCTTCTTGAACCACTCCTCGTGTAGTGCAGATTTGCCCCATTCATGAGAGAGGGCCCTCGTCCGTGCAGCATGTGTGCTGCCGCGGGCGTCCCAGGGCCATCTCGCTCCGCGAGCTCGAACGGGCGGCCTGGAAATGGGCACTGCGGAGTTGGCACATCCGCACTCGACTCCGCGGCTCTTGAGCGTATGGGTCTGCATCGTCAGTGGGTTTCTCCCCGTTCCAGCGTGCTCTTGTGTGCGCTGTGCTTTCGCGCGTCTGCATGCCCTGCAGATTCGCCGCTTCCGTTTTGTTGTCCAGCCGGTGGCGTGTAGACGGGGTGAGGGAGGGAAGGAGGGGAAGAGGAAGAGGAGAGGAATAGGAATGGGAAGAGGAACAGGAACAGGAGGAGGAGGAGGAGGCGGGTTCCGCTGAGGAAGAATAGAGGGAGGAAGAGGAATAGGAGAATGATCGCGACGAGGATGAGAAAGATGAGCATGAGGAAAGGGAAGCAGGAGT